TTTCAATGGATTGGCTGCTCAAAACATATACATCTGATCCCATCATGGGAATAACCCACATCACAGCTGCTTAAACCACACAGAATTGTGGTCCAGCCAAGTTGACACACAGCTCCAACTATCACAACTTGGTTATGGAGAAGTCTTCGGTTCCTGAACCTGGCACTTCCTGCTGCCTTTATGGCCCCATCTCCCTTCCCTCTGGGTTCAGGTCATGCCTGGCCATTCCCATGTATTTGCCCCTGCTGTGTCCACCTCATGACACAGGGTCTCATTGTCTCTAGCTAATAGATCCTGACAGGCCAGGTGCCTCCTCAGATATCATCTTTTCTACAAAGTTCTTCCAGGTCCTTCAATACTTTGTGCTAGAGTTGTAGACAAGCTGAAGGTTATAAAAGGTAGCAGAAAGAAAATATAAATTACTCATAGCCATCTAATCATTTTTTCCAGTGCTGCTTTCTTTTTTGTCACATCTTTTTCTCTACTCCATGTGTGTATACTTATTTATTTATTTTTTTAACAGCATTGGAATCAGTGTTGTTGTTAGGTGTTGTGAGTTGGTTCTGACTCATAGTGACCTTATGTACAACAGAATGAAACATTGCCTAGTCCTGAGCCATCCTTACAACTGCTGCCATGCTTGAGCCCATCATCATAAACACTGTCCAAAAAAAAACTAACAAAAATGTTCAGAAATAGAAAAATTGTTATATTAAATTGTAATACATCCAGACAGTGGACCAATCTGCTGTTATTAGAATTGAAGTTTTGAAAGAATACTCAACAGTATGGAAGAATGTTTATGACATGATATCACATGAAAAAGAACACCATCAACAGTGGGATCAGTGTTATTGTTATAGTGTAAAAAGTTGGTGTGCTGTTTTTTTTCCCTTGTCATCATGTCATAAACATTTTTCTGTATTATTGAATATTCTTTGAAAACTTCACTTTCAGTAACTGCAAATTAGTCCATTGTCTAGATGTATTACAATTTATATAACAATTTTTCTATTTAGGAACATTTCAGTTAGCATTTTTTTCCTATTTTAAATTAAACTCTTTTGCTTGGAAATAATTTTTTTCCCCCAATTTCTTATTATTTCCTTGGGAAGGTTTTCTAGAAGTGTATGTACTGGGTCAAAGGGCATCAGGTTTTTAAAGACTCCTGATGCTTATGCCAAATTGTTTCTTAGAAAGTTTGAACATTCTATTTGGTTAAAAAAAATTTCTAATTTAGAAGGTAATACAAAGGACATCTCTTGGTTTGATATTTATTTCTTTAATTATTAGTGAAATTGAACATTTTTCCTATGTTTGTTGGTCATTGATATCTCTTCTACTCTGAGTTGTCTTTTCAATTCTTTTGTGCAGTGTTAAAATGGAGTTTTTACATTGTTTGTATCAATTTATAAAACTCTTTACATATTAAGGATATCAATCTGTGGTTGTCATATTTGTTGCAGATATTTTTCCCAGTTTTTATTACTTGCCTTTAAATTTTGGCAAATAGTATTTTTGAAGGACAGAATCTTTTTTCATATAATATAGTAACTGCCATTTATTAAGTACTTATGTGCTAGGCACTGAACAAAACTTTGTACATGGGTTATCTCATATGATCTATAGCCTCAGTATAATGCAACATTTCCACATATTATGGATGAGGTTCAAGGTCACCTAGTCAGTAAATGAATGAGGTAGGGATATGATGAACAAACTCATATTACAATGCCATGATTTTTTAATTATGCTAACTTTGTCATAAGAAGTGCTTTTAAGCTGGACAATTAATCTTATTATACTTTTAGTGTTTTGATTAAGCAATACTTTCAATAAAGGAACCCCGTGAAAAGCCTTCCTCCCACTGTTGTTCCCCATCCACCTACTTCTCACTTTATTTTCTACCTCCACTTCAGATAATCAGCTTAACAGTATCTTAGATACACTTCCGTACTTTCTGTATGCAGATACAAGTAAATGTGAGTGTCTACCCTTATCTCTCTCTCCTTCCCCTTATTTTATAGCAAGAGTTAAAAAATCAGTCCATTTAGAGTGTTTGTTTTTACATTTGCAAGACTTGGCTACTTCTTTGGTACAAAGTATACTACAAGTGGATCTCTGAATTAATTCCACCTTCGTCTTGGAGAGATTCTTCATGCAGATCATTCAATTTGTGTAGATAGTAATTTCAAATTGAAACCAATTTGGGGCCAAACTCCAGCACTGCCAAGTCTTATGTAATCAACAGAAGCTGAGCTTTCAAACAGCTGCCATACATTGTCAGGAACAAAGCTAGAAGACCAACGCAGATAGTTCCAAGGAACAAGTTGTTACTCTCAAAGTCTGTGGGAATACATATTAACATCCAATGATCCCAATTAATACTTCTTAAGAAAACACCTCCTTTCCCCTTCCTAGTTAGATTGACTAGTAGAATAGTTCATCTGAAGTGCTTTCTGGGATGGTTTTGTTTACTGCTACTTATGGGTGAAGCTCTGGGTAACTCCATAGACATACATGTAGGACAAGGGCTGAAAGAAGTGTTTGCTTTCCACTGGGTAAGACTTACAGAGAGGACCTGTGCCCCATCTCAAAGACACTTCCCTGGAGCTTGCTGATTTTGTTTTGCCATTATTTTTCTTTCCTAGGTACTGGCGGAGGACTTTGGGCATGCAGGTCCGCTATGTCAACCATGAAGACTATCAATTCTGTTATTCCTTCCGTGGCAGACCTGGGCACAAACCCACCATCCTCATGCTCCATGGGTTCTCTACACATAAGGATATGTGGCTCAGTGTGGTCAAGGTGAGGTTCTAGATTATTCTATTTTAAAGGGTATCTGTCAGTAAAGGGCTTACTCTTGGAAATGATGTCATCAGAAATGGTGGAAAACAAAGTGAACTGTGGGTCAAGTCATCTTACCAACTAGTGCAATGTTTAATTCAAAGTCATTTGTCAAACAAAAGTTTATTGAGTTGACTCATTTGTAAAATCTGTGCCTTAGAGATCATTTCATCTTAGGAATAATTCTTAGAGAGTGTTTCTGATGCTCAGCTTCATCTCTGAACTGCCATGGCTATCAAGGTTGAGCTTAAAAGAAATAATTTGTTCTTTTATGTTCCAAGTTCCTCCTCTTTCTTCTCTTCTTCCTCCCTCCCTTTTCTCCTTCTTGTGTTTCTTTCTGCTTTCTTCAACTTTTTTTTTTTTTTAGCCATTTAAAGAAACAGTCTTGATCTAGCAGCTTTCTGGGATAGTTTCCCAAATCATTCACTTTTTTGTCCTGGTTTACTAGGGTGTGGCTACTTGTTTTACTTAGTAAGAGTAACTGGTTCATGAGGCCAACGCTGGGAAAAGTATTGAGAGGGCAGCATCCCAGGCTCCAATAGAACAACATCCAATGATCCCAAATGATTATTTAAGCCAGGTGCAAGGGACTGACACATCCTCTACTTACCTGTGTTCTTATTTCAAATTTCACTATGAAGATGGTCACCCCTGTGTGTTCATGAGCTTCTTGCTT